TTCTAATGTTAATGTGTTTTTTTGCAATGGGGTCACTCATGTAAGGTGTGTAAGCCCTACTTATGGTGACCTATTCTTTTGAAAAAGTTCTCCAAGCCCTATTTGAATCTATTTGTGCAGATACAGAACAGAAACTTGAGGTATGTGCATTAACAGACTGGAAGGAATAACAGTAGTGCTATTTTTTTGTGGTTTTCTTCAGAATAATTCAGGCAAACCTCTATTTATACGTGAAGGAAAGAACTAAGGTACAAAATCATTCATCTATATAATGCTCTTTTATTTTTCCCTCCAACATCTCCATAAAAAAATAGAAAATTTTCAGTTAATCTATAGTACCACCCTACTCTGATTTCAGACTGATGCACCTGTCACCTATACTTGTAAGTGACTTTCATACTGTCAGTCAAAAACATACCCAAATAGTCAACTGAATTCATCAAAGAAAACTTATTGTAAATGAGATGGCGGGATGGGCAAAGGGGCTAACCTCCTTCTATATCAAACTATGCTTCATCACAGTAGGTGGGCATACTGAGCCAAACTATAGAGAAACAGGCTTGTCCAAACTTTGAAAATACACTTTTCCCTCATGTGCAACATTACAGACCACAGGGAGGATTCCACTAGTTGCCAACATGAAGCAGATGTTACAGTCCAAAGTAAAATATTTAATTATGTAGCATATTATGATTTGTATCACTTAAGAATTCATTGGGTGGAGAAGCACTATACACATGCACTCCATCCAGTTAGCCTACAGTTGAGTTATTAAGGAAGTCTTCTCCCAATTTCAGAAGGTGCTCTTGTGTTCCAGGTACTTGTTTTTAACCTGTTCCACCCTCTTCAGCTATCCTTTGGATCATTTGCTCAGGTCATCTCCTCCCCCCACAACCTCCCTCCCACCTGCAACCACCCTTTGGTATTTATAGGAATCAGCAAGTGCGAAGGGGTAACTTCCCCAAAGCTGAAGTTTTTGGAACAGCAAACTGCTCTCAAGCCTGTTTCTCTGTGGTGAGAAGGAAGGACCAGGAACAGAGACTGGCAAAAAGCCTCCTATCTAAACCCAGGTTCTGGGACTCTGGTAGGTAACTCTAGTGGGTTTCATTAGTAAATTTCCAACTAGCCCTAGCTGCAAGTCTTAACATTTCTGTACACACACAGCTTAGGTGGGGAAAAAAAACTTCTTCCTTCAACTGCTTGCCTTCCAAGGGATTATCTTTCTTAGAGAGACAGGGAGGCCCATGTCTAACACCACAGAGAACCCAAGTGATTGGCATCCTGGTGACCTTGCCTAGGTTTGGCGATTTCAAAAGCCAAGCCACATTCATGTTGGTGTCCTCATTGTTTCTGCATCAAACACGTAGGTCTAAGGACATATCCCATGGTTCTTGTACTAAGACACTTGATTTAAAGAATTTTGTCAAGCGAGGAGCACTTTACATTTCAGAAGCCATCATAGGAAGACACTGGACAACTACCAGCATTTTAATGACTTTTCCCCACCCTTCCCTGCAAAGTAGGCCAGTTCCACCCTGAAGTCAAGCACAAATTGGGGTTTTAAAGCACACTCCCACTGGAGTACACTGCTCTACACTACTTAACCTCTAAATGTACATCCTGGGTTTTTTATTTGTTTGCTTACTTGCTTTAACATGGAAGGCTTGGGAATCAAGGATAAAATCTGGGCAAGACACTGGGCAAAACTGTACAGTGCAGACATATCTAAAGCAGCACAGGATTGCTTTGGATGTGTTGCTTGTGGGTATAAGCCATTTCCTCTCATATACTTCAGAGGCAGCAAGTATTATGTTTCCTGATTTTGGCATTGCATATGCAAATGATGTAAGCATAGCTAGGTTCAGTTAGTCACATGATTCTGATGAAGTCTGTTTTCTGCATGTGGAGCTATCCTATTCAAAAACTATGAATCAGAAGAAACTGGGATGTTACATTGCCACATGCATTGCACTTAAAAGTTAATGACCACAAGCAGCAGACCCAAAATATCACTTAGGACAACTGTCTTAACAAATGGTAATGCTAAGCAGAGCTCATAAGTTCTTGGCCTTGCACATTTTGGTTTCCTGAGCTGTCAACCTGAACAGACTTAATAATACAAAAGAAAGCTTATTTTGCCTAGTGTGCATCAGAGCTGAGGTATTTTTGCTATGAAGTACAGTACCAGAGCATACACTGGTATTTTTGCTTTGAAAAATGAGAAAATTAACAACTTTGAAAACACAGCACATTATGCAAATTCTCAAAGCTATAGTTTATTCATTATGTGCAGTTCACTGGAGTTCTAATAGTAAGAACATGAGTGTTTTCTATTATTGGAGATTACAAGTAACAAAAAACAAAATAAAACAAAACACAAAATTGAGCAAAAAGTTTGCTATTTTAAAGATTAAATTAGAAGGACAATTGTCAACAAATGATTCTAAAATAGAATGTAGTAACAAAAGGTCCTAGTTGCCTGAACACCTGTTGTATAGTTTGGCACACTACATGCTGAATGCTATAAAAATGGGAGGAACTGAAAACAAAACACAGACAATATATTTACTTATAAAAATAATTTTATTTCTTCAATACAAGGTAAATGGCTACTGCAGTTTAAGACCAACAAAAAGTTGGATTAGCAAAATTCACAGAGTCACCTAAAGGCTAGAAGAAAGATAATTAGGAAAGAAAGTCAACGATAAATAAAAATCATTGCAAATACCAAATATAACATCCACAAAATAGTAAAATAAACTTTAACTGAAGTTAATTTAGAAGCTGAGGTGCCTCAACTGAATACACAAGTATTTGATGTGATACCATCTTACCTTGCTGAAAAAAATCTATGTCTTCAGACTCATCACCTTAAAAACTGTTCTGCTGGTATTAGAATGCTGCTGTTTATAAAAAATGTTTCAAGTCAGGCAATTAGATATCCATTTGTTTACAATGTGTTGTAATAATTCTATATTTCAATTTACATAAAAGTCATTCTCATACTTCAAAATCATCCTGGAAATAGTTTGATGACACCTTTGCATGGAATGGGAATTAGGAAACAGTACAAGATAATCATATGAATGCCAATTACCCCTTTATAAAAATCTTAAATTTTGCCAGTAAGATATTTGTCCTTTTTTAACCTTTGTAAACCTGACGTTTACCTTTAAAAAAAAAAAAAAAAAAGAGATCTATAATGGCAAGCAAGCTGAATATTTAGAAAAGTATATCCCTGTCTCATCTTTAATAAATTACACAGAAATGTACATTTAATTCAATAGTGCGGCAACAACATGAACAGTTGCTCAGTCTTTTGTATTACACAATACATTACAACAAGGGACATGGTACCAATGTGGTTATTAAATCAGATATGTTAGAAAAGTCTCAAAACTTGAACAATGTATGTTACCATCAGACTGAAATTTAGATCAGAAAATTCCAATGAGACAGCATGTGAAAAACATTTACTACCTCCCAATTTAAAGCCCCAGACTGAAGCTTAGCTTTGATTCTGCTACTAACCACAGCCCAGAACTGATGCATTTTTAGGCAATGCTTTCAGACTATCTGTACATAAGAAAAAAAGGGAAAAAACAAAAATACTAGTTCCTAAGGTAATGGATACTGCCAACATTGTGTTTTTAATATGTGCCTTTGTATCATATGTTGTCCCAGTGGGGAGCTAATCTCCTTGGCAGGAATGCCACAAATTAGCTCACACCCTTCCTAAGTGCCACTCTGATTCCTTTCTTCAGTCCAATTGGCTGTTTTGCTTTCTACTCCTTGCTCTGTGCTCCCTGCCCCATCTGCTGTGCACCACACAGAGGCAGGCTGTCCATGCTGCAGTTTGACCACCAATGTATTATCCCATTGTGGGGTGGGGAGGTAAATCTCATTTGTAGGAGGTTATCAGAAGTTCTGAATACAAACTGAGACTAACTTGTATGCTAAGACCATTTTTTCTAGACTAACAGGATCATGTAACCAAATTCATGAATAATTTAGATCCTCGTAAAAGAGGTCACATTACTTCTTCCCAAACAGTCAAAATACATTTTGGAAGGAATTCTACCACATTATATATATAAATTTATATAGAACCTATTTTTAACCTCTTTATGAGGACCTAAATTATTCATAAATTTGGTTACATGATATCACTGGTCTAGAAAAAATGATTTTAGCATACAAGTTAGTTTCAGTATGTATGCATTTTGACCAGTACTTTTCTGAAAAGAACATGACGTTATTTCCGAATGTCAACCAATAAGAATACAGGGTCTGAAGTCTTTCAAGTACAAAAGAAATCTTACTAATACATTTTCACATTTGAATCAGCATAAAGAGCTACCTTCATAATCATATTCAGGAGTATTTTAAGGCTATATCCCAGTTATATAAAATGTTTTCAGGGTATTTTCTGTAAGTAGCTTGTTTTAGTATTGGTTAAATAAAATTAGTAAGAAAAGTCAATATGCTTAAATTGTACATTGACAGAAGCACATCAGTAAGAAAAGGAAATCAGAAATTAGTACTTTGTAAAAAAGAATGCCGTGTATTTTTACTAGAAACATAAACAACAGATATTTACAACATTTAAATCTGCAGTATTCCACATACAACTAGGGAAAACATTTACAAGGATTTGGGTAGGCTACTAACCATAATCAGATTTTAGTTGGTTTTTTAATACAGCTTTAAACACACACTGAAACCTCAGTACCCTCAGAGAGAAATTCAAATGTCCACTCAAAGCTAAACCCTAAATTTAATAAAAGGCATCTTTTGCCTTACACTTGCGCAGAGTGCAACAACTACTCAAGTTTGAGTCAAAATTTAGGTTAAATCTTTTTTAAAAAGCCTGACAAATGCCTATCTTGCAACATACAATCTGAAATCAAGTTACTGGCACATTTGAAAACAGAAAGGAATGAAACCAAAAGTTACATTTTCCAATACATTCCACTTATACTTTGGAAATTTTTTTTTTGTACTTGTCAGAACAGCTTTTCCAAAAGGAGACCAATGTTCTTGGCTAATCTTACTGTAAAACTACTTTATTTCTGCTGCTTCTATCATGCACTATATTAAGCCATACTTTAATTCCTTTATTAAAGTGAAGGACAAGAGCCTTACAATGCTACTTGACTGTTACTTGTGAAAGCCCACATACAGGACATCAAACACTTCTGAACAGACTATCTGTCCTTTCACCAACAGCAGATTAATTACAATTGAATACCAAAGAACACTTCAGCAGCAATTGAGGCATCATCAGAAATTAGTAAATTAACAAGATGATAGATCCTGAGAGGGCCCAGAAAATTGCCAGTAATATGAATAATCTGAAGCTAGGTAGGAATTTCACTTCAGATCCAGTTACAGCATGAAATGTATACTGGGACATACTCCTTTTTGGTGCGAATACGGTCTTTGGAACATTCTCTGCCCTCCCCTCACCCCCCCACCTGCATTTTTTTCTTCTTTAAACCAAAATAGATCTGACAGAAATAAACCTAAAATACTGAAGAATCATCTTAATTTCAAGGTATTAAACCACTCCAATGAAGAGAGAAATCAGTTAGAAATTACTGCCTTCATATTGGGACCTCAACTAATTATCTACATAGACGTCCATCAGAAGTTTATATTTAACTCTTGTATTGAAAATTTTACCTCCATTGCCAGCAATGGAAACTCTATAAGAAAGATGAAGGAAGGGAAATGATACCCAACAGAAAGCAGTATCCCTTGGCAGAGTTCAGATTTCAAATGATGTAGACTAAAAAAATATCAGTTCCTGCATAAAATTACTTTAATTTTAGTTATGGAATTAAAAAGTTTCTTGTTACAGGTTTAAAATTTCTATCCATGTAGACACATTACTTACCTGCTGCCCCTTCCGTATTAGCTACCTGCCATTTAATAGGCATATTGCAGGTTATTTCTTCCCCTAAACTTATTACACACAGTAAGTAAACAAAGTTAAAAATTGCATCAGAAACTAACACCTATTCACAAAAACAAGAAAACCAGTCATATGATGTCTGATACAACTTTCAGGATACACAATTTTTGAAGGCAGTTAATCACTTTTAAACAGGGTTAAACATACATCTGAAATTTTTTTTTCAATAGCAAATAGTTTGACAAACACCAATGATCCCATGCACGAGAACCTGAAGTATACAATTTAAGAAATAAAAATGGACAAAAGCCTGTGGCTAAGTCCAATGGTATCAGCCTTTGCAGGAAAAATCTAGCTTTGTGGTAGGTAACAAAAACATTAAATTTGAATTCTTATTGTAATGCAAAGGTTTTACAATGGCACAGAATATAAACCCCAATTCAGTAAAAGGACACAGCCATGAGCTTATGCAAACAACACATAAGCACATATTTAAATTTCATGGAGTCAATTGGACTCGTTTGTGTGTTTTAAGTGCTTCTGTACAACAGACATGCTTTCCTAACAGTGTCTGAGAACTTAACCTCCTAGGGGGATTTTACTCACTGAACTAAAATTCAGTAACAAGCAAAATCAGAATTGTTTGAGAGAGAACCTTTTAAAAGTCAATGAGGTCTTGAAACTTAACTTTAAACAATAAACCCCATTCTGCAAGCAAACTGTTCCAAGTGAAAGCTTCTGAGAATAATCTGTTAAAGCAACCCAGTTTTAAGAAAGTACATCTACCTGTACAGACCTGCCAAATGCAAATTGTAAATTTGCTAAGAGTGATTATACCCATTGCCTATTATTGTCTTTCCTTTTCATACCTCACAACACATAGAAATAAATTAGGTATTTGAAGTCTGCTTGTGTCCTTTGTTTTTTGTTCTAAATTTCAGAAAGTTTGAATTCTAACCTATAATGTTTTTAGGTAAGTTTGCAAAACCTCATGACTGATTTAATTAGCTTCATTTTTTTGTTAAGACGGTTCAATATTGTCCATCAGTGAACAAGGGACGCACATGTATACCTTTTCCTTTACACAGATGTGTGAGTTAACCTATGAAACCCCAGAGGGTCAAGAAAAATGTCACACCCATTGGAATAGATAGCTAGAAAAAATGGAAACAATTGGTTTCTTCAATCACATTTATCTAATATACACCTACATACAGACCGTATCTGGCCTTGGGGAAAAATGGAACACACAAAAGCCTATTAATATAAAACCATAAATAACTGCAGCTGTATTTTCAAAGGGACATTTCCCCAATATTAACAGTTTAAATAAAAATAATGTTAATATTAGTCAAACTATAAACTGTAGGTTTCAATTTAAGTAAAATCAACCCCGGTCCTCCTCCCAAAAAACGATGACAGACTGTGTAACAGAATGACAAACAAACTGCAGTTTTTACAGCTTTATATGCCTTTTAGCAAATTCACAAGCCATCTATGTAAAAATTGCTAGAAAAGCAAAATAGAATTAAAGACCATCTCATCACCTGTTTTAATATCAAAAATCAAATGTGCAAGTGACATTAGTATGCTTAACTCACTGAATGCAAGATTAGGTTGATGCTTATGCAGAAGTTATTGCAACGCTTTTTGAAGACAGTATAAATGTTTTCATAGTAACATTATCTTTAAATATTGCTGAACACAAGACTTTCCCTGAGGTGTAAACATCAAATAACTTGAACAGCTTTACACATCAGCCCCATTAAACAGTTTATTACAACACTACATCTATTGTAATCAAAGTGGTGCCGTGTACAGACATTATCATATGAACATTTTTAACAAGAACAAACTACTATAAAAACAAGCATTTACTTGACTTTTTTTCCAATTGCTTGCACATTATAATTGCCAAATGTATATAACCAGTAATAAAGTTGCAAAAGCTATAAGTTTTAAATCACACAGGTTTCCCTCAAATAAAACAATTAAGCAACATAAAAAAGTAAAAGAGCTACTGGTTACCATGTATGCAGATTTGCTTTATTCAGATCTATTCCTGTTCATTTTATCCATGAATCCTTACAGGCTCAGTTCAATCACAAGAAGCAAACTGCTGGACAAGCATCTTTCCTTGAAGAATGTTTCTTGTCTTGCAAGGTGTTCCTCTTCCTTCAGCTGTAATGTGTCAAAATTTGTGATGTAGATTTTGCTAGTCCCCATAATACACAGAAAAATGTTGGCTTAACTATACATATACAAGTCGTGCATCTACCATAATGTAAATCTAACACAAAGAGAAGGTATGGAAGCAGTAGCTACTTGTCTGAAAAATTCTCAGAGAATAATACAGTATTTTTAATATGTTAAATGTACCAGAAAGTTGAAATATAATTTAACAGTTAAACACTGAACCATGAGAGAAAAAATAGCTACTGTTCCTGTGAGTGATGGAATCTATATAGAACATTTCCTAAAATATGCATACTGCAAGAATAAATGAAAGATTGCTTAGATGGTATCACCACAAACAGATTTGTTATTTACATTTTACCTACCTAGTTACAGTAATTCTAAACTAATTAATTTAACAAATTAATGATGAATGTATAATGAAAAGGGCATTTCACAATTTAATTGCATTTAACAGTGCAGTGTCTTGTGCAACTGATCCTGATGCTTGCGTTACAAAATTTGCCAAGTGATAAACCAACACAGGGCTCGAATTAAAAAAGAAACCTCTTTCAAAATTTCAATATAAAAATCCACATTGTACCATTGAAACAATATAGAAGTCAGGTTTCTTCCATTAAAAGGGAAAAAAAAAGAAACCTACTTTCTAATTTGCCTAATTCTTTAAATCAATTAATCTAATAGCTACTGTAGCAGCTCACATAGTACTTGGATGGTATAATTCCATACACAGAAGTTTTATTTGAATGCCATTATGAAACACAACTAGTCAGCTTCATGTCAGCAGTATGTCACAATTTCAACCATCAGCAACTTCATATGAATTTAAATGAAAGCAGCATATTAAATTGGTCATTTCAAAACCAGACATTTAGAGAAGTAATTTCATGAACACATACCAGTAACACAGCTGTCAAGAATTCTTTCACTACTAAGAAGCGTTGAGGCAATTAGGAACCAATGTAAATGTTTACCAAAACTATAATTAACAAGATCTCCTATCTTCCCAATCAATGACCAGCATTGACTTATATTTAAATATATAAACAAATCAAAAAGTTTATGGTCTAAGAAAGAGTCTGTAACAGAATTGTCCGAATTTGAACTAGTAATTGGAACTCTTCAAATTCCTGAACTGTGCTATCAAGTGGCGAATATACTGACTGCCAGCCATCTCTGGGGATTCTCTCCTCTAAAATGGACCAAATTCTCTACAGTTGCTTTTAAAGCTTAACTTGCAAAAACAAAGTGATCACAAAGCATTCCCTGCAGGTGAACATAGGAGTCAGTTTTTCAAAGGAGCATAAAAAAAAAAATCATGGATTGTTAGCACATTTAATGTGACAATTAACAGATCCAAGAGCACTATAAATCTGATTTACAGTACGAGCATCAAAACATGCAAGGTCTGTGGGATAATTTGTTAAGGTATCTGAGAAAATGCAGAGGTTTCTGTAGAACCTGTGGTACACTGGGTACAGGATCAACATTTTTAAATTTAGGGCACTACAATATATTAAGACAACCAATATCGTACCGAATCTTTGATGGAAAAGCAAAACAAACAACTAACATACCCAAAAACTGACACAAATTTTGTTTAAAAAAAAATCTTAACATCACCCTAGCAGAGTTTATGGTTCCTAACAGAGAGGATAAGTCTGTGAGAGGATATATATTAACATTTTCAGTATGGTTCCATCAAGCACAAAATGGTTCCATCAAGAGTAAACAACAAAAGTTTGCATAGTAAAATATTCTCGGTCAATTTTTGGTAATACCATTTTTCTGCTGGTTTAAGAATCATTAACAGCTGTCGGTCCCCAGTATGCATTATAGCTGTGTAAGCTTGTTACCATAAAGCAAACCGTTTCTCAACATTCCCATTAATAAACCCCAAATTTTCAGATTTTAAAATGTCAGCTGAAGAATAGCCTGCTTCTGGTTTAAACTTCTGATCTTGGTCTATGACCCCAACATTCTACAGAAGAATCTCAACACCGTATAAAGAAGGGAGGCTCATCTCTTTATTCTTCTGTAGCTTTGGATATTTTGTTTTTCAAACACACAAGATAACTACAAATTTTATAATTTGGATCAACAGGGCCTTTGGATATTTTTCAAAGTAGCTTGCAGTAGCAGCTTTGCTATTTTTTAAACAGTCTATATATTTGTATCAGTATTTTAACAGCTAGGATACGAGAGTCTGACAACTCTCTTAGAGCACCAGAAATGTTCCATAGGCATACATCTGTTAAATGATAACAGTACTCTAAACAAATTTAAGGTAATTTCACGAATCAGGTACAGACTCATAATATGCTCACATTTGAAAAAAATGCAAAAAATACAATTTTTTTTTGTATCAGATACTAATGGTTCCTTCACATGTACTTCAATAAAATTATGTTTTAAATCTTATTCTATATACAAAGAAAAAAAATGTACAGACAAAGGTAAAAGTCTTACAAAAATTCAGTTTCAAGGCTGAAACTCATTCCTCAATTCAACCCAGGATTCAAAATGTAATAGCTGGGATTATAGTTTTTAACAAAACTGAAACAAAATAGGTTGAGAACAAAAGAGCTTCAATCTTGATTCTAAACTGCTTTGCTTTTCTGCACTTAAGTCAGAACACATACATGTAGTTCTGTTTAATACACATGTACACAATCTTTTTTTTTGCTTTTTTTAACATTTTGGCTGACTTCTAGTACTACTGTACTTACCTTACACCTTTGCTTAAATTTTAGTCATATTTTGAAACCAAAACCACACCTAACCCACATAAAAAAAATTAAGGGAAGAAAATAAAAGTATATTCCCAAATTCTAGATTCATTCATCAGAAGAATTTTGTATTAACCCAGCTTGTCTAATCACTGAAAATGTATGTCTGGTCATATAGCATGTTCAGTAGAGATTTGCATTTTCCAATGTGCCTAACAAATTAGACTTAACTCTTTAATGTTTTATCCATAATCCAATAGATTTCTTTTACAGAGTATACAACATTTTTAAAAGAATTCATTAAAAATCAAATATTCAATACCTCTGAAAAACTAATTTTAGTTTACAAATTATAAAGCTGGGAACCAAATATCCACCATATCAAGATAAAGAAAACACCAAAAGGCAGATCAAGATGCCATAGAGAAAAAAAAAGATCTTTTTTTCTGAAAAGACAGCTTAGTTTTCAAACCACAGTGAGCAAAAAGGGATACTGTAGGCTCAATTCATTTCCTCTCTGAATACCATTTCCAACCAACCTTCTGACTGCAGTTTCCCGAGTTTCCAAATGTAAAGTAGCCTGAAAGACTGATTTCTTATGGAACTGCTTTACAACCTAAGCTTCACTCACAGCTGTTGTCTTAAGAATTGACGGGAAAGTGTTCACGGTATGGAAAAATAATGAAATCTCAAGCCCATGAGCAAAGTTACAGAAAGAGATACAATATACCTGTAGTATTAACAAATATTGTACAATTATACAATTGAAGAGGAGTTAATAGGGCTAAATTTTAGTTTATTTTAGGAAAATAGCAAGATACCAATAGCACCAAGATACCAAATAGCACCAAGTCGCTGTATACTTTACAGCAGAAGCTATTCATTACCATAAAGCATTAAGGCAATAACACTTAATACATTTAGATAATTTTGCATAGCAAAAAGTAAAGGCACAAAACAGTGGCACTTTTTGGGGGGGTTGTGGAGGGTTTTTTTTGTTTGTTTGTTTGTTTTTACACTCTTCATTCAATCAATGCACAAAAAGTATTGATATCCTTTTATGAGGAACATTAGGATTTACCCAAAAGGCCAAATTATTTAACAATAACAAACAATTTTCAGGAATACAAGGAAAGGAGGAACAAAGTAAGAGTGAACAGTCCATCACAATCACTGTCTTTTTCAGTACCCAGATTCTCATTACTTTTCCTCAAATACAGCATTTTTTGCATAAGATGCTAATATATGCTGCTGGGAAAAATGGTAGTACTATCCCAGTGTTAACTAGCTCTGCAACAATGTCAAGAAGCTGAGTACAGTTAGGCACTGAATAATGCTACCATATAGGTCTGCTCAAGGTAAATTGATAGCTACTGGCTTTAATAATAAAATTTTAATTTGTAAAATAGGCATTCTTCATTAACTGCAAGTTTAAAAAATCTTAGTAAGCATTCAACACCCACCCTGTTGCCTAAAAAAACAAGAACTGACCTGGTAAAGCTATCTTTATTTTAAACAGACAAAAGCCTGCAATTGTGCTTTAACCACACTAATACTCAAAAATTTTTTATTAAACAAGGTCATGCGTACACCTTTTGTGGAGAGTATTTAAGAAAGTACAGCAGAAGGATTAAGGATTTTGCTTACAGTGGTTTGAGAACACGAGATCAGAGAGCTCAATTCTGAAAACCGAGCAAAAACTACATACATATTGAAAACTACAGTATTAGTGCACTCTCCCTCCGTAATCCAGTCCAAACCCAGTTTAATTAGAAAATTATCAGCACCCCAATAACAAAAACAGAAAATAAAAAAACATAACATTCAATAGTTATAAAAATTCAGACAATAGGATTAAGATTAAGACAGTTTAACAGTTGAAATACATCACTGAAGTACCAGGTAAACTAAAAAAACTGTCTTTAAAAAAACAAACAAACCCAAGGTGGGGGGGGGGGGGCGCAGAAATCAGGTTGATGAAGTTACTGTTCTGTTTGTACATGTTCATTTTTCTGCTACTCTTCCTCTGCGTAAGAGATTCTGGTTGACAAAACAGACTTACTGTTTTCTTAAAGGTTACTTAAAAGGCCAGAAAGTTGTACTTTTCTCCCCTTCCCTTGAAAGAGATTCACCACTTTTTTGGACTTTTACACTGGTAATTTTACTATTACTCTTAGGATACCAACAGACGGACAGATTCTGAGTTTTTCTTGATGTCTAAGTAAAAACACATACGAGTCTCATGACAATTCAGTTTTGGAACATTAAATGTACAAACAGAAGTGTAAAAATCTGAAATGGTACATCTGACTTTTTCCAGGAAACCTTACAGAACACTAAATTACTTAAATTTAATCCATCTACATATGAATGTAATTAGATACAAATGACAAATGATTAATCAAACAACTGATTAATGTTTCACTATATACAAAAATTTACAATGGACCTTTAAAACCATTCTAAAAGTGAGTATGTAACATTTTCGTTAAATATGCTCGTAGGGCATTCTGGCACTACTAAGCATACACAGAAAGAGAGAGGAAAATAGATGCCATTCATGCAGGCACATAGATAAGCCCTTTATCTGGTAAAAGACTGTAGGCAGAAGGGAGAAAAATTCCTCTCGGAATTACTGTTATTTTTAGTAAGCAATTGGGAAACTTCAGATTTTTTTTTTTTTTTTTAAAGAAAGTCATGTAAAAAAAACCCCAAAACAAAAAAATGTATGAAGACATACATCTTGGTGAAAATGCACACACACACAAGCCAAATTACTGAAGTACTTTACAGAAAACCATAAAAGTTAGGCCCTTTTTTCATAAGACAGTAACAAGACAATGTTTACAATATAGCTGTTAAATACAAACCTCTCATTTACATTCAGGCCACTATGAATTCCCTTTAAATCATATGTTTATTCGTCTCTTGCTGCAAAGGCACTTATCTATACAACTTCTCCAAATCCAAAAGAAAGTCTCAGGACACAAAACACTGACTTGAGGAAGTTGTATATGCAAATTCCACACATACTGAGACTCGAGTAAACCATACACTTGAACACCAGATTTAAAATTCTGTTAAAAATTTTTTGGTACTCAAATGTAACGGCCGTTCCCCTCAGATACTTTGTTGGGGGTAACGGAGAGAGTGGGAGAAATTATCTATACTTAGCACAGAAGATCCAAGAGAGACACATGGTCTGAATACATGACAAATTAAATCGGTTAATAAAGCACATAGAAGCACTTAGTCCAAATTATTAACAACTGCTGATGCAATTTACTTGTATACAACAGAGGTAATAAGAAATCTTGGAAATATAACTGTCATTCAGCCCAAACAGGTTACTTCTTACACAGTACTGGCTACATATAATACAAATATGTCTGAAAAACCTCTGATAGCTAGGGAGAATCCATTTTAAAAGAAAGAAACTACATCCAGTGTTGAAAGTTTGAAACTTCTGTTTTGACATTTTATACATAGAAACCAAAATGGCTTTTTCCTGCTTCCCTCCCCACCATTCCAAGAATATTTCTAAATATTTCTAAATGTTTGGTAAGCATCACAGGCATTTTAAAGGATATATTATGATCAACTGAATGTCAATCACATCATACCAATTTTCATTTAACCCACTGATTCTCCTTTGTTGGGGCCACCTTGGATTCGCCACCAATTATGAAGCAAGAACAGTTCATTTTAATACTGATTAATTAGTGCGGTCATTTTGCTCCTTTAGGGTTACGTTTTGCTACTAGCAGATCTAGGAATTGAATATTTTTCTCTTTAACTCCACCTTTTTCAAAGGCCTTAGAAAGATAATAAATTGTATCACTACTTTTAACTTAAATGTATAATTTATAAGCCATGCCCTGCTTTTTCAACCTTCAAACATATTTATGTTTTGTATTACAACAATATGTATTCTAATGGGTTGCTCCTGAAGCGCTCAATGTTCAAGGCCTACCAAGAGAAGCTGACATTACACAATTCCTTTCACTTAAGGTATACTAAGCTCTGTATGAATACTAACAGTTTTGTTCTGGTTTTATTAATTCCATTTGAATGAATATTTATGAATAAATGCCACATACAACTATAAAAGCAAAAATTTAAAGGCAAACAAATGAAGAAGTTTCAACAGACACGTTTTCACAGCTTGAGTTTTAATGTAGGTAATATGGAACTGCTCTAAATCAAGGTAAAGATGAGGAAAAGACTGATTTCTGAATGACACCAAGAGAGACCAATTTCTGTTCTATATCACATAAGGAACAAACAACTTCAACTCAAAATCCTCAGAGTGGTGCACATATGTAAAACTGCTTACATATGGACTGAACATTAACATCCATTTTTCCAGTTAGCAATTGAGGGTTTAGGCAGCTACTCAAAGTACTACTACATAGCTGCTTTCATGTTTAACGTAGAAAGGGACCACAGATGTATACAGAAACACAATTTTCAGCGTATATAAAAACAGCAAAAAAGGAACCCATTTATACATTAATTCATCAGTCTTTACACGATGACCTGAACCTCTACCAATTATGAAGGACACAAAAAGCCATTCAACTAGCATGGGACAGCATCTGGATTTAGTTCAAGGACCAGAGAATACAGGTTGAAATATTAAGAGGTAACATATTACAAACCAGAACCAAATCTTGCTAGAGTCCTTACTCACGTAAAACTCCAATGAAACCAAGAGAAAACCAGATGTGCAAGAACCCTAACAAGGACCACAGATTTGGCCATAGTATGGTCACAGTGAAGGGTGAAGGATAGGCTTTAAATGTATGCAAGTGCTCCCCTACATAGAAACAATCACAATTTACTGTTTAAACCTTGAAATATGTGATCAAGAGAAGTGGGTATCTAAGCTTCAGCATTTCATTATACTAATAAAAGACGTTTTTCCATTAGGCTGACTTAAGGGCTTTTCAAGAATTTATTTAATCCCCATCCAAAAAGTTGCTTAGATCAATACCACACCACAGAAATTAAACATACATGCAATTAGAAGAAAACACACACACACATACACACACACCAAGACAAGATAGTTACCTCTCATTACTTACCGAAGTTTGCCTCAGATGCTACAAGAAGAAAGGATTCAGTACATACTGCTGGAGCATTTAAAATACAGACATTTACCATATAAATAATCCACTGACAAAACTTACTGCTATTAATTAAAGAAACCATTTACTTATAAAGCATGAAACTAATATGCTCACCTTCTTTAACGATGACGATACTCTCGTTCTCTGTCACGCTCTCTGTCGCGATCTCTGTCACGATCACGATGTCTCTCTCGCTCACGGCTTCTTTCCCGGTAATAGTCATCGTGACGATCTCTGCTACGGGACTTGTGACGTCTGCTTTTTTCTCTCGACCTACTGTGGTCCCTCTCCCTTGATCGTTCACGTCTTCTAAAAGAAATTACTTCATTAATTTTTACTCAAAGTACAGAGTCAACACCAATAAACCCAAAGAAAGAAGCATGAGTTTTGTCCATTTAATAAAATGGAAGTGACCAAAAAAGAAGGTGGGGGGAAGAAATAGATATCTGTTCATTTTCAGATTTCTGTTCAACATCTTTATCAGCGACTTGGAGGCAGGCATGGAAAGCACGCTGTCCAAATTCGCTGATGACACAGAGATGTGGGGAGAAGTGGGCACACTGGAGGGGAGGGACAGAATCCAACTAGATCTAGACATGTTACAGAGGTGGGTGGATGAGAATAGAATGGAAGTCAATGCAGACAAGTGCAAGGTGCTGCATCTAGGGAGAAGGAACCTGCAACATACCTACAGGCTGGCGAAACACCCTTTTTGACAACACAGTGGCTGAAAGGGATCTTGGAGTCATTGTTGACTCCAAGATGGACATGAGCTGCCAATGCAAAGAAGTGGTCAGTAAAGCTAATCACACCTTGTCATGCATCTACAGATGCATCACAAGCAGGTCCAGGGAGGTGATCCTTCCCCTCTATGCAGCGCTGTTCAGGCCACAGTTGGTGTACTGCATTCAGTTCTGGGTGCCACACTTCAAGAGGGATGTGGCTAACCTTGATAGGGTCCAAAGGAGGGCCACTCGTATGGTCAGGGGCCAGCAGGCCAGGCCCTACCAAGAACTAAATGGCCTGAATCAACTAGCCTCCACAACAGAAGACTGAGGGGGTCTGGTGGCCATCTATAAACTCACCAGGGGGGGCCAGCGGAAAATAAGTGAGGCTCTGGTCTCCCGGGCACCACCTGGGATAACAAGGAATAATGGCCACAAATTGATTGAGAGCAGGTTCAGGCTTGATATCAGGAGGCATTCCTTTATGGTTGCTGCTGCCAGGCTCTGGAATGGGCTCCCAAGCGAGGTGGTGCTCTCCCCTACCTCGGGGGGTCTTCAAGAGGAGGTTGGATAGATATCTAGCTGGGGTATTATGATCCCAGCACTCATTCCTACCCAGGGCAGGGGGTCAGACTTGATGATCTGTTCAGGTCCCTTCTGACCCTAAAAACTATGAAACTATTTTGTAAGATATGCTGGTACACCAAGCATAGAGAAGGTATTGGCTGCTTTCTATCTATTGTACACCACAAAAGCATTTCTCCATCTTACCACAGGGGTGGCCAACCTGTGGCCACCCGTGGCATGGGCAGCATCTGTGTGGCCCACCGCAGGGAGCAGAAAGCAAAGGTAGGGGATCACTGGCACTTGGGGAGGGCACAGGCTTAATTTGTGGTACACCTGCCAAAAAGCTGGCCCCACTATCCTAACATTTGGGAAGAGTTGTTAGCAGTGCGGACTGAAAGGAAGGGAGAAAGAAAAAGACAGAGAGAATCAAATAGACAATAACAAGAAAGCTGCCAGTGAGAATGGAAGTGCTCCATAATCAAGAGTAGCTGCCGCAGCAGTGTGATGGCCTTTTTAGGTATATTCTAGGTATCAAAAGTCTGTAGGGACACACTGTTACTAAAATTCAAATAAATAAATTATCAGCAGCAATGTTACAGTACCCAAGCTAAATGAAAGTCAATTTTTTTTTTAAACTCTGTATATCTGAATTCAAGGCAGTGATTATTAGTCAGGGTTCTGTGCCACCCTGAAGCGCTATGAGTTTCTTCTAAGGATGCTGTGCAATATTATTACTGTTAGGCGTGCAAATACCTACATTATTCACAAGATAAACCCAGAGATTTCAAATAGCAGCCCACAGCATCATAATTATTCTGAGCTGCTGGTAGTTTTCTGAGTTCTTTGCAACAGAACTGTTCTATGTTTTTTGACTAGAAAAAATAGGTGAAAGGTAAGAGCTGGCATTTCCCAAGGGGTGCCTTGAGTCTAAAAAGATTGAGAACTACTGTCTTAAGGAAATATGAACATCCTTGATTTGTAAAACAGATGAGCACTGCTAACCAATTTGCTTCACATTTCAGTGTAAGAGTCACCTGCTGGCTAGCCCTGCACTGGAGCACCCTCATGCCCCAACCAGCACCTCTGCAACACATTGGGCATTCATACACATGACGATTTTCACCATTTAAAGCGGACTTAAAGACCCCAATTAATGCACATGACTGCCTTTAATGAGCTTTTAAAGTGGCAAAAATCACCTTAATTAAACCTGGTTGGATGCATTTTAAATGCAAGGTGAAATGGGGTAGTACATGTCAAAACACCTAATTCGCTTTAATTACAGGTGTATTTAAGGGGGGCTTGCTAAGTGGTAACTCCTAATTGCTACCACCAGGTACAGCCAGCATCCCAGTATCAGTTCAAAACATTCTCCTCTATGTAACTGAAAAAATAAAAAAAAACAAAAATAAAAATAAGGCATCTTCGTCTGTGTTAGTTTTATTTTTTATTTATTCAAAATATACCACTGGGTGGGGAAAAGGGTGAAAAAAGGGGAAACAGGGAACTGATCTCCCCACTGCCAAAAGTGCATTACAGCCAGTGATGCAAGTTTTGTTCTGCAGAGCCTGCAAAGCAAGACTTCCACTAGGGGAAGGGACCCTCCCCCGTGAGACCCAAAAAAGCTCCCCAAGGGTCCTGTGCAAGCTCTGGGGAGTGGGTAAAAACCTACATGCAACTGGAGGGCGAGTTGACACTCCAGGTCGGGGGAAGGGTCACAACTCTCGCCCACCCCAGAGACCCCCCCTCAAAGTCCCTCCAGAGTCCTGTGCACACTGTAGGGAGTGGATGAGACACCTCTTCCCCATCACAGCATGCACAGGAGTGATGCTGTTCAGTTTTGGTTTGGGCATTATTTTTCCTTTTCTCTCACCCTGCAGAAAGTCAGAGAGGGGGAAGCTCTGAAGTAGTGTCATCATCTCATGTTCTCCTGAGCCCAAGTGAGAGGCTATTGTCAATGCTGAGGAAAGCTCACATCTATCCACATAGGTTCTCCCAGAGAGTGGTGGTGGATGGGTTGTTCTCAGCCTGGAAGGAGGTGGGCAGTGGGGTGCCACAGGGTTTGGTCCTTGGACTGTTGTTATTTAATATCTTCATCAGCAATTTGGATGGGGGTGTGGAGAGCACCCTAAGTTCACAGATGATACCAAGTTATGGGGCAAAGTTAACACATTGGAGGGCAGGGAGCAGATACAGGCTGATCTGGACAGGTTGGGTCAATGGGCAAAATGAAATAGGATGCAATTCAACAAAGATAAATGGAAGGTACTCCACCTAGGGAGGAGGAATCACCAGCACACTATAGGTTGGGGGATGACCTCCTCAGCAGCTGAGAGGGATCTTGGAGTCACAGGTGACTCCAAGATGAACATGAGCCAGCAGTGTAATGAAGCCATCAACAACACCAATCGCACCTTGTCATGCATTACGTTACCAGATGTATGACCAACAGATCGAGGGAGGTGATGTTCCCCCTCTATGCAGCATTGGTCAGGCCACAGCTAGAGTACTGTCCAGTTTTGGGCGCCACACTTCAAGAGGGACACAGAGAATGTGGAGAGGGTTCAGAGGAGGGCCACCCACATGATTAGTGGCCTCCGTGAAAGACCCTACAAGGGGAGGTTGAGGGATCTGGATCTCTTCAGCCTTCACAAGAGACATCTGAGGGGAGACCTTGTAGCCACCTATAAGTTTATCAAGGGAGAATAACAGGAGATGCACTATTTACCAGAGCACCCCTAGGAGTAACTAAAAATAATGGGTGCAAACTAGTGGAAAGTAGATTCAGGTTAGACATTAGGAAGAAATTTTTTTGTTTGTTTGTTTTGTTTTTTTTACAGTAAGGGTAGCCAGAATCTGGAATGGGCTTCCAAGACAGGTGGTACTATCACCTAACTTGGAGGTCTTCAAAAGAAGGTCTGATAAGTCATCTGGCTGGGGTCATCTGACCTTGGTCCTCTTTCCTGCCAGGACATGATGATTCTTTGTGGTCCCTTCGACTCTACAATCTATCAATCTATGAAACCCACCCCTGCCCCATTGCCCTGACTAAATGTCTAGAATTTTGCTTTGCTCCCCTGGTGAATGGGGAAGGTGGTCAGAGGCAGCAGGGAGCACCACATAGGTCTGTGTGCGCCTCTGCAGCTGCAGGCAGTTATGCCTGTGCTCCCTGATTGCCCTCTCCCTGATCCCACCAATGAAGCAAAGCAAAATCCAGGACATTTGGTCAGATTTAAAAAACCGCCCAGGACAGAGATGAGAAGGCTCAAAAAGAGGACATGTCTGGGAAAACCCTACTCTTTGGAGTCAGAACTTTGTTTATAGGGCAGATTGAATGCGGCAGTGCTGGTAGACTGGCCATCTACTGCTGATTAGCACCTAGTTAATGCAAAGTAAATAGAAGACAAGACAGGGCTCTCCCTAGTTTCACAGTTACACCCCCACCCCAGCCTGAATTCACCTGCCTTCCCACCCCTCCTCACTGCAGGGCCAGCTGACACTGGGAGGAGTCACCACACCCCCAAAGACCACCTAAAGCCCCCCCCCCCTTCCATGCACACTTGGAGGAAAGTAGGTTAAACACCTGCACTCCCTATCACAGCAAGGGGAGGAACCCCTGCCACAACATCCCGTGAAGCCCCCCCTAGAACCCAAGCAGCATGTGGACTGAAGGAGGGAGACCTGCCCTCCCCAATCTGCTCCAGTGGTGCAGGCCATACCACCACCCCTGCTCCTTCAGGTGACAGAGCTTGGGCTGGGTCTTCTGCCTTAGCTCCACTCCATGCCCCTACCAGCACCAAAGCCCCCCAAAGCCCTTCCTGCTTCACAGGGTCCCGTGCACAAAGCTGTCCCTGGTGGGGGGGGGGGGGGCGCGAATAGGGGTGACTACCCCAGGCCCCATGC